GGGGGCGGCCGCGCCGGCGCCCCCCCCCCCCTTTACGCCCCGGGCCCCCGCAGGATCGTGCACCTCTGCTTGCGCCGGCTGGACCAGAAGCTGGTCATCCTGAAGCAGATCCCGGTGGAGCAGATGACCAAGGACGAGCGGCTGGCGGCCCAGAACGAGTGCCAGGGGCTGAAGCTGCTGCACCACCCGCACGTCATCGAGTACTACGAGAACTTCCTGGAGGACAAGGCCCTGATGATCGCCATGGAGTACGCGCCAGGTGAGGCGGGCGGGCACAGGATGGGAGGCCAACAGGAAAGCCGGGGCAGCGGCTAGGCTGCGAAGGTGAAAAGTAGTCCAGGAGAAGGCGGCGGCAAACTGGCCGAGGAGACTGCCCGGCCATGGTCCCGGCCCCACCGGGAGTCGAGCTCCACTCTGTCTGAATTTCGTTGGCCCGGATGAGAGGACGAACCCGTTGCGTAAAGGAGCTTTCTGGGAGTCCAGCGCTTCTTACTGCTTATTCTCCAGCCCTGTTCCGGTTCAGAGCTGAGCGGCTTGAGTTTATTGGTCAGAATGACAGCCTTGACCGCAAGGATGAGGAACCCTATAAAGGGGAGAAAATGGAGGGCAGATGGAAGTGAGCTAGAAACCGAAATCTCTGCCTTTGATGGGACCCAGTTTGTAAGCATACAGGAGCCTGCTGTGCACTGTGCCAGGTTATTTGTGCATTCCTCTTATTACAGCGCTCTCTCATTGGGCAACCAGAAACTCAGAATTTCAAGCCATGAACCTTGTTCTGATCCTGCCAGGAATAACTTCTTAAGTGAAGATCCTGGGATTGAACCCGGGACCTTCTGCAGGTCAGATCAGGGCTCTGCCACTGAACGCTGCCCTTTCCAAATTTTGAAGGAAGGCTGCCTTGCCTTCCTGCTGGGCGGAAATCGAACTCAGGCCCGGCCTGCAGGTGAGACATTCCTCCTGCTCAAGTTCCCTCTCTTTCTCTCCTGTTCCCTTGAAATAAAGGTTTCCCTTGGTGGCTTCAGGCTGGCCTTGCAGGGCTGGAGATATGCCCCCCAGCCTCTGCCCCTGGTTCAGAAGCAGGAGCGGCTGGCCACATTCCCTCTCCTGGCCAGAAGGCCAGAGGCTCCTGGTTTCTTAGGCTGCGGTGGTCTCTTCCTCTGGGGCTGGGGGTCTGCATTCTCCTCCCAAGAAGGGGAAACCCATCCTCCCCCACTCCTCCTAGATTCCTGCCAAGGGCCTAAGAGAACACAAGCCCATTCCAGCCATGTGGCTGACCCGTTTCTCCAACCTTGACCACCTTCACAGCCCCCCAGGAAGGATTGGAGAAGATCCTCTCGCCACTTCCAGTCCAGTCGTGAGCTGAATGGCCAGACTCTGACGCTCTCTGAGGCATCTTCCTGTTCCTCATTGGAAGGGTTCCTGCTCTTGGACTTGGGTTCAGTCTCTGGCGACCTCTCTGGCTTGAACTGAGAAAGAGCTGGGGGGTCATGGCTGGCTGGCTGGGTGGATGGGTGCATAGCACCGATATGACAACATCCCCCAGAGGGAGGGGCAGAAATTTGGGCCAAAGCTTTGTTTCCAGCCCCCCTGTTTGCCCCAGGCACTCAATAGTGGGGCATTAGGGACAGCAGCCACCGCCACCACTCTTCGAGACCCCACCCCTCTGGGGTCGTGCAGGCTGGGTTTGATTGCAGAGGGGCAACTCATGGTCTGGACTGAAGCCAGTCTGGCTGAGCTTCCACCATTAATCAGCGCGAGGCCTCCTCCCTCATTCCCCACGATTGATTCTCCACCCATAGGAGAGGGAGGTTAGATGCCTTAAAGGGGCTGGGACAGACTTGCGGAGGAGCAGTCTGTGGAGGGCTTGCGGTCTTGTGGAGTCAGCGTTACCTCTGGGTTGGGGCGCTGGTCTCCAGATGCTGCTACTAGCAGGGGAAGGGTCTCCGCCTCCTGTTTGCCAGCTCCCCAAGGGCATCTCTTGGCCTCACACCAGTATGGCCTGTGGCCTGACCCAGCAGGCTGTGCTTACCTTCTTCCATTCACCAGCCTCAATGAGAGGCCTCTGATTTCTCCCTGCCTCCCTCCCAGTGACCCTACCTAGGATCTCTCGGGAGGAAGTGCCTGTGATACTTGCCTGAGAGAAGCGTGATAGTGTGGTGGGGAGACGAGGGGGGAAATCTGTATGGGCTCCAGGAAGCAGCCTCTGCCCTCCATGGAGCAAGGAAGCCCTGCCCACCTTAGGTGCAATCCTCCTCTCCAGCCCCAGGCTCCCAAAGAGCCTCCGCTGGGGCTGGAGGGGCAAGGGGCGGCAAGAGATGGGCTGCTTCCTGGCAACACCTGGGCTGCCGGGGGGGGGGGGGTTGGAAG